ATAGATCATTGAAGGTCAAGATCACACTTAATTAATCATCATATATCATGATGTCAGTTTTGTCATAAGTGCTCTTTTGCCCATAAATAAATCAATGCCATAGATGAATGAGAAAACTGACAGGTTAAGTAAATTTAAATAATTGAAGTCAACAATGCATTATAAAAATATGTTGGCAACTAAATTTGCAGTTTCATACCTTCGTCTCAAACACATCCTCTCCATAAAAAAACAATTTTCTCTTATCATCTATGTAACGTAATGGTGTCTGCAAGAATTGGTGATGACGTGCATGATCTGTTTCTGAACTGCAACAGTACATAAAACATTCTTAATACACAGAAGAAAAAATAAATCTATATGTTCTTATGGCACAAACCACATACGACAAGGGAAATGGCTCTTTAATTACATAATATTATATACATGTATCTATAAATATCTTACCATTTTTCATCACAACATCTCACAATGTCTTCCAGGTGCATTGACATCTTTTCCCACTGAAAATTAGCAATTTAACTCTGTAGCTGTGCACAATCATATTCCATATAAATTATGAACTTACTACAGTTAACTCCCAATAAGTCATAATCGCCTTACTCAAAATTCCATGTTAGTCGAAGAACTCAATAAAGTCTTGTCAAATTTCTTTATTATTATACTTTCAATCCGCTTACGTCCTAGTTTGACTTGATGAGACTCCTGTTTAGTCGGAATGAGTTTTGTTCCCGTAAATTCAAGTCAAACAAATTTTCCTCTAAAATTAGTCATCAAAGGTAGGCCACATTAAGGTGCGATATCGTCACTCTGATTCACACGTTTCAATTTTAAATGCCAGTCATCATGTATTCTTAACACATCGTAAAATTGACTTTAATCTGTATCAGGTCTTAATATTACAGTTAGATAACTAAATTAAAAGCTGAATATAAAGTGATTAACCTAAGTTGCAAGAACTTGTTTTGCAATCAAGCTGAAATAAAGATGTTTAAAGTAAACTAACTTAATATAAAAAAACTTACTGTTTGACTTAAGGCCTTTATATCAATTTTTTTGGTAGGTTTTTCATGTAATTTCCCGGTTTTTAATGCCTCTGAGGGATCACTTTGTTTCAAGATATGTTTATCCTGCAAAAAAAAAAGTGAACAATGAGACAAAATCTAAATTCCAAACAGTCAGTTTGTTTGTTTTGGTTTTTCGTCACACCTACACAGTGTAGGTCATACAGTGACGTTCCAGCTTTACTGGTAGATGAAGACCTCAGATGCCCTCCGTAAAATTATTTCAGGCACGAACAGGCACTGAAGTAGAACCACCAACGTTAAATAAGCTAGCTGATTAGCTTCCTCACATAAATAAATCCAAGTCCCTGCTGGGATTCAAACCCACAGCGGTGAGGGGAAAGTGGTTTGAAGTCAACGACCTTAACCACTCGGCCACAGATACCCCAAAATAGTCCGCAATTCTACATGAAATCAAAGAAATAATAAGAACATATTCTTATGATCAGTCAATATACATTTTACCTGATTTTCATTTCTTTTAACATTACATGTAGAGTGTGGAAAATAGTCCAATAAATTGCACAAGAAATAACAATGAATTGATTAAATTAAGATGAGAAACATACAATATAAAAAAAAGTTCATCATGTATCAACAGTCTGGACAGCATAAAGTATTGCATTGATTGTTACCTGACATGTTTTACAGAAGTACTGACTTGGTTCTAAGTTTTCATCTAATCCTACACAAGCTGGATGAAACCAGTCCAAACACTTCTCACACTGCCAGTATTTTCTTTAAAGGAAGAGAAATAATGTTATATCTATGGAGAAATACACTATCAATACCTTGGTATTTGCAATTTATTTCGTTGAAATGAACAATTAAGATAAACAAGAAACAGTTTGATTTTATAACGCAAACTTTAAAAAATAAAACCTATTGTTGAAAGCAGAAAAATGCTCCCCAAACAGGGCCCAGGACTTTAGACTTAAAACAAATGCAAGGTTACTATCAATTCAATTTAGAGTGTTATAAGAATATAAAGTTATTACAAATAGTTTTTCATATTTTCAGTATGCCAAATTATTTAAACTAGAACTCTGTGAGTCGGATGTGTGGCCTTGTGAACAGTATAGTTGTCACTTAAGTAATTTCTAAATAAGTGTATTAATGGATTACCTCTTGTTATAATTTAAAAGAAATAAACAATGTCAAAATTGACAATATCACCAGACACATCCCAATTTCTTCATGAATTACAGAAGTTATAGCTGGTTAAGACTGTTCTTTTAATGAAGTATATGTTATCAATTAAAGTCTAAATAAGATAATCTGTTAAGCTATAACCTTCTTCTCTCTCATCAAAACTTGTTTTAAATCAGAATACATTTGAAAGTCTAGGTCAGTTAAGAGTAAAGGTAAAGTTCAGTATGGTCAACTTGAAGGTCCTGTCAAAAAAGTAAATATTACTAATTGAAGTCAAACATCATTCTAAGGAAAAGATTACCTTCCATCATTAGGTTTATGACAGACACAATAAAGTTCTTCAGGAATATCCAACTTTTGTTTTTTCGATAACACTTTCTTTTCTGGCATTTGATATATGAAGGATGATCTCTTTCTCTGTAATATGCATATATAATCTGCAATTTCTTGACATTTTCTGATAACTTATATCTTCACTGACATTAAAAGTTAATAATGTTTTACTTGTTAAAATAGGCAACAAAACATTAACAAGACATTAAATTAAATCAAGGCACTAGCTCTTTATAACTGCCATTTAAATGAATTCTTCATTTACTATTACAAATTATATTAATATTGCTGCTATTTACCATTTGTAATATGTTTTTTTTCCTTGTTGTTTACCACTACAATGCTTATTATTTTGCTGAAGATATGAAAATCCCATTTTTGTAAGGTCATACAATACTTAAAATAATAACAACTAACCTTTGGCTGGGGTGCTCTTTTTGATCTCCTAAAAACAGGTGAGGGCACAGGTGAGGGCACAATTTCAACACATTCCAGGTCTGTATCACATTCTGCATCTGTTGTTTGTTCTAAAGTTATATAAAATAATAACAGCCATATTAAATTCCAAACAATACATGCTCCCATTCAGCTCATAAATTTCCGAATTTCTGAAATAATTGGATAACAAATCTTTCTAAATTGCGAAAAAAATGGAAATTATATATTTTTCCTATAAATCGAATATCAACCAGTTACTCGTTGCCATCAATTAAGTAAATACCATCACTAACTCTATTAAAAACATTTTAAAACTTAAAACTATAAATTTAATTTTTTTCTTTAGATTACACTTTCTTTTATATATTGACAATGTGTACATACCTACTCCAGATCTCAATATTCTTAAAGTTGACATCAAAAACAATGCCAAGTTCTTCCTCACAACATACAAGTCTCCTGGAGTCCACAATATATTCAGTGTCTTTCCTGCTAAGTAGTTCTCTGCAAACTGCAACAAAAGTTTATCCCTTTATTGATAGTTGTATAGATTTGTAACAAGCAAACTATGATCAACATAGAATATGCTGCACGTCAAGATAAAGGATTATACCAAGGTCAAGTCATGCTAAAGATACATAAGTTTAAAAGAATAATATGCCTTGCACTATTACAGGACTGCTTTTGAATTTTTAAAGGAAGCAATTACTTATTTATAAATCAATAACTTACTTTTAAAACATATATCCCACAGGAGGTTCCATCTATCTGTCTAGAATGAGGTGGAGTAATGATTGACCAGGCAGATGAAATTTGGTCTTCCAAACCAACATCATATCGACACTTCAAAAATGAACTGAAATATAACAAAGTTTTTGTTACAAATACCTATCACTGAAGATATAATCATGTCATGAAGGAGTAGTTCAGGCTGTCCAGCACCTTCTGGCAGAAATTAGGGCAAATTTAAGGGTACATAAAAGAAAAATTATGGCTAAAATCTGTATTTTATTTCAAAACTAAAGCCCCAAAAGATCATGATATGGCCCGAGTGGTATCCAAAAAAAAAAAATCAATGCATGCAGATGGGGAGGTTCTTCTGAATCCTGAAAACATACTAGTGATGTATTAAGACAATGGTTATTAAATACATATTTATTTTCAAATGAATGTCTGCAAACAATTTCTCACTGTCTTTCATGAGGACACTGCCGTCCAAAAAAAAAGAACACACAAAACATGACTTCTCTTGACTAATGTGATAGTTTAATATTTCCTTAACAATGCAAATTACAATGCTAATTTTTATACTTAGTGCATGAACTGATCTATCATTTATTCAGGGAATATACATAAACACTTACATGTAACTAAGGAATAGCTGAAATTGATCCATTGTTCACATTTTTTGATAACTATAGTAGTAACAAAATAACTGTAACTGTTCATTTAAAAAAAAATACAACTATAATACAGACAAAATAACTAACAAGAGCTGTCACAGAACAGCGAAGCTCAACTAATAAAATACTGGACACAGTATGGAAGACAAAACTATGAAAGAAAATCAATTATGTGTAATTATGTATTAAGTTATAGCAAAAAAATAACATTTATTACAATTACTTAAAGTACAAAGGGAGATAATTTTGAAAATAGTCACACACAGTTATGAACCTTGTCACACTACATGTGTGTAATGATAGGAAATATACATTTCAAGTTTTAAGTAGGTACCTTTAAAAGTAAAGAAGTTATAATATTTCTCAAAGAAATTTCTAAGTTCAAATGGAGGTCAATTGGAAAATATTGCTTCAAGAATTATGAACCTTGCCACATAAGATGTAAATAATGAAAGAGAATATGTATTTGAAGTAGGGCCAGTATGAAGTTGATCCCTTAAGAAATAAATAAGTAACAGTTAAAAATAGTATTTTTTAGGAAAATTCTAAGTTCAAGGGGAGATTAATATAAAAATATTGGTGTTAAGAGTAATGAACCTTGTCACATAAGATGTGGTTGATTATAAGGAACATACATTTGAAGTATGAAGTTGATCCCTTAAGAAATAAATAAGTAACAGCTCTCCATATACTTCGTATAGTCGAGCTAAATATGGTCCAAATAATATATAACTAGAGAAATGACGAACAGAAACAATCAGTGCCCGAACATCATAACAAATGATAACTGCACTTACTACCAGTTGAACTGTAACTGCTGTTCCAAGTGGAACAGTGTTCCAAGAGGATTGCAGTAAACAATTTCACTGCAATGTGGTTTTATTATCTGTACAGAATACAATTTGGAATACTTAAAGTATATTCAATTTTTAACATTAAAGCAGCACTCCAGATTCATGCTAATTTTCATAAAAATTTTCAGAACAGAAATTAGGAAAACTAATATTCTCATTACGCAGTTTTTCTTATAATAGGGTATAAACTTACAACTTCATTCATATAATCATGTGTGATAATTTTCATAGAAGGATAAAAGTCGATACTATATTGAAATCCGTTCATAGTTAAATTCTTTTTTCCTAGTGCTTCATAGTACCGCGTAGTGATGTAATCAAGGGCCAAATAAAGCTTGACACTAAATATGTTAGTGTTTATCCTTACCTGTTCTACAGAAATTAGAATCATTCTCCTGTCACTATCGCTCCTGTCGAAGTTTCCAATTTCTGTAGAACAGCACGGATGAACACTAACATATACATAAAATGATGTCATCCTAAGAACACAATTTATTCATAAAAGTTGCATGGCAATGACGTCATTTAAAGCACGCGACTTGTCTTACATGGCGGGTGTAAGACAGGTTTTTATAGCACCAGAGTAAAAGGTAATTATCATGTCTGATACGCAAGAATAGAAATTCTTTTACATGGAGCATATTCAGTTCATGCAAAATGTCTTACCAACAAAGTCCAGTGATTTCCTCCTTCGTTATGTGCACCTATTATGAAGTCAAACTTCATCAGGTTGTGCTGCAAAAAATGTAATAATGAAGTAGAGCAGTGTCCACATTAAGCAAATGCCACATTACACAAATTTTTATATGATATGAAATAATGAAACAATAACATTAACAACAGAGCTGTGATGAGCCGTGATTACTCCTCCGAGATACATCGAGAATGTCAAATTTCTTCAATGCAAATGTCATTAAAATTGGTTGTCATTTTTACCCAGCTAGCTTTTAGATTGTAAATTTCCCCCAGGAAATGCTAAATACCAAAAGTCAAAGGTCTTAGCAGTTCAGTATTACACAAGAACGCTTCAATGTAACTTATTAATGAAATACTCTCCTTATTGAACATATACTGAATGCCATCAAGAACATACTCAATACTGAATAATAATATGTAAGAATATATAATTATAAAACAGCATTTAGATAATTTACCCTGCTAAGTAGTCCATGTATGTGGCTCTGCCCATTAAAAATTCCTGTCATAGTGATACAATTAATGTGCAGAATGTTGTCTTTTTGTCTGACTAATTCATGCAGGAAAGCATCTATAACCTATAAAAGTAAATTGCAAAAAGTACAAAAGTAAGCTGACTTAATATGAAAATTTTCCTGTTACATTTGCTGATATATAATGCTGTACAAGAAGTAAATGTTAGTGTTGATCCATGCGGTCTACAGAAATTAGAAACTTAGATGGGAGCAATATTGACCAGAGAATGTTTCTACTTTCTGTAGAACAGCTACGGATGAATACTAACATACTTAGTGACAAGCTTTATTTGGCTTCATGAATATTTACTTAATTACTTAACAATCAGTCCACTAGATTCCTCAATGAAAGTGTTTAAACTTGACCTTACAAATATGCATTATTTATGTCAATTTGTGCACAAAGACACATGTACCCTTGTGTTTCATATGCAAATTTCATTTCTACAAAGCAGTTCTAGGAATAACTGTGATTGAACTGAATTTGACACAGTATCTTCTATAAAAATTAACACACATTGTCAAACTAACTCTATACTGATCAATAGGGAGAGTTGGATATTTAAAAAGTTTTCTTTTTTTAAGGTGAACTATAAATGAAGTGAAATTGTCAGTCCAATAATGGAGATAATGTACATTTTATTTAATAGTTGTTACAACAGTAATGTCCTTAAAGAAAAGGTGATTTTATGTTATAGAAAACAGTGTTCTAGATAATTATTTTTACTCAAGAGTCAATACTCTCTGTTTTTTATACTTGAGAGTAAACTGCCAGTTTCTGGCCAAATGAAGGAGTAAAATTGACTCTCAGTTTTAAAAACTTGGGAGTCAATTTGCCGCATATTATGATACATTATAATTTATATTTATACATTACAGCCTGAAAAAAATCAGAATTGGTCTCAGTTTATAATTTATAAGAAATAACAGCATGGCAAGGTATCATTTATATTTAGGTTTAAGGCATATTATAAACCCTTGAACCATTTTTATGTGAAATGAAGTAAATGTATACATGCAAACAGTTGTGACCTACACTGTTCAATTCTTTAAGCTTGTGGGCTAATAATCAACCATTTCTTTACCAAATTATAAGTTGAGATTACTGTTTTATGGACTGTAAATTATCTAACATATAAATGAAATAAAATAAGGTGTGATGTATAACTTAGTTTCATTGTATTTTTTCTTTAAAAAAAGAGGAGCTAGGTACAAAATAAAAGGTTGCAATTAATTTATTTTTTACCGTTCAATGTTAGACTTTTGGATGTTGAGAACCCCTTATCTGGCCCATTTTCCACCCATTTTGTGCTTACAACACAATGCACATTTCAAATGCACTACATTTTCCACCCATTTTGTGCTTACAACACAATGCACATTTCAAACGTACTACATCTGGCATTACAGACAGCCACGGGAAACTTTTACACCATGATTTGATCGTAGCATCTAAATTATGCTGTCGTATGACTTCTTTTGCTCTTGCAATCAATAGTCAAAATTTCTTTAATAATTGGCTGAATTACACACTGAGAAGACACTGGGCTTGTTTACACAGTAGAATGTGTCGATTTTTCGTTGTTTGGGTTTCGAACAAGATAATATCAATGTATACAACTTGATAATTTGATAAAATTGACAATATTTTATCGTCTACTTCAATAACGTGACAGACGCTTGATTTATCTTATGTACATCTATTACCGAGCGTCTCAGTGATACAAAGTCGACTGGTTTACAATTATAAACCCAGGCTGAGAAAATAACACACCTTTATAGAACAGTACGCTAACCAGTCAGTCATTTTTATCGGTGTCAATGTAAACATTGCCTACGCCAAATTAGTTCCTCTAGCTATCTCTAATGCTGAGAAAAGCTATCTCTAATGCTGAGAAAAGTAATATTTCAATGGATTAATAGTTAAAAGTATTTTAAAGTGGGATACAAACCAAAGATGATGTACCAAATCTTCATATAACAATTGACATACATACTTTATATATAATGGCTCATACCTCATCAGAAAGAGTGCTTTTGATAAATTCAAAAGACCTTTCAGTCAATGTATATGGCCCAATATTTCCAACCACGTTTCCTGAAGATCTTCCCATCCATATCCTGTCCACTTCTGTCAAATAAGACAAAAAAATGAACAATTCTGAAATGCAGTATCAACAGATAAATTACGCTAATATTAGTATAACAACAGTACACACTAGTTTATGTGCACACACAGACAAATTAAAATACCTGCTCTTTTTCATCTTAAATAAAATTCATCTAAAATAATCAAAACTTTAAGTTTGTCTTATTTTTGAGTTATGTCACAAGTTAAATGGTAATTTCAAAGCTTCTCTTATAAAGTAAAAGCTAACATTTCTCTCTATCCATTATTAAGCTGAAGCAGAGGAGACAACCTACCCATATCCTAGGTTTAAAGATTCCTCAATTGAAAGAATTATGAAAATGATTCAACATAAAATAATTTGAAGTTATTACATTTGTATTTTGAAGACCATTATTGCTCAGCAAACTATACCCCAAACTATTGAGGATCACTACATAGAATAAATATGCTAATTAAGCACTAGCCTTGTTCATCTTCTTCTGTAAAATTCCATTCTGTGAACTGGGGAATCAGTGCTTCTGATCTCTTGTCCAAATCCAAAATCTCATCTTGAAAGACAAAGTTACCAACTTTTATTAAATCTCAATATTCATGGATATTCATCAAACAAAGACAGAGCAAAAATGTATGTAAATAATGTTTACTTATTTCTAGTCAATACTGTTCAGTGCCAACATCAGTGCTGTAAATGTTACATATTTCTAAATAAATAAATGTTACTGGTGAAATAATGACAATGAAGACCAAGAACAAACAACAATTTCTCATCTTCAACAATGTTTCAATCAATGATTAATAAGTTGAATATTCAATTTTTGGCTGCAACTAACATATAAGCAAAAGACTTCGCTTAAACAATATAATGAAATAAGTAGGGAATCAGTGGTCTAAAACTTATACAATTCAATCGTTTTTTGTTATTTAGGATCATAACATATGTGTATGATTTTGCTTTAGACAAGCATTATGTAACATTTTATATCATGATAAAGGATATTAAGTTCAGTAATAAAATTATATCATGAGTGCCTCTTGAGAAACCAGCAAATGGAAGGACAGACAAGGCTGCGACAGCATAGTGATAAAAATATCTGTTGTAAGAAATGCCCTAAAGTAATATGTTTAAACTTATTCTACATGTATGCTAAGAAAATTTACCCCCAATCTTTTCTTTTTTCTGTACACTACTGTTCTTTTTAGCCACTGGTTTCTTCTTCTTTGGACAAAATCTTTTTAACAGAGAGTTTCTGCGTTTAACTTTTTTACTACGTAGAGGCAAACCCCTAACTTTTGGAATTTTTTTAGACAAAAGTTCCTCTGTTTCCTTTAGTACTTGGTTAAAATCTCTCATTGTTTCCTCTTCATTCACACAGTACAAATTGCTCTCAATAGACTTTAATATTGACAAACAAGAATATCTTAGCTTTCTTAAATTATTCTTCTTTTCATATTCATTAGTGGAAGAGTCATTTGTTCTATTTTGTTGTTCATCTTTTCTGTCGCTAGATTCTTGTTGAGTTATGCAGTCTTTTTCAGCTATGCTGCAATTGCTTACTGGTGTTTTTTGTTGGTCTTGATCTATTTCGAACACTGTTTCATCTGCATTAAACCAGGGCAATGCTCTATATTCCGTAGACAATGACTGCCAGTTGTATTCTGGATATTTTTCAAAAATGGCTAACAAATGTTTGCACGGCCAATGACTTTTCTTCCAATCTTCACAGGTACAAGATGGAAGATGATTGGTGAAATTAACATTAATTTCACCTGAAGAGGATTTAATTACGAAACTGTCTCCAACTTTTTCAACATCCTCTATTAATTTTGGTGAGGGTAACCTCTTTAAACAATGCAGAACAAACCTTTTCGGTTTGCCAACAAGGAACGTTGGTACATCCTTCGAGTACTTTTTGAAAAATGGCAAACTGACTACTTGGTTCCGAATGTACCTGGAAAAGTTAAAAAATATTTTAAGGCACAGAACAGGGAAGATAATTCATAGAGTGCCATATTAACGTTTATACCATAATATTTTTGAGAAAATAGGCTGTTGAAATGAACAACAAACCCTTTCAAATTGAAAATTTTAGTCTACTGAAATCAGTCTTCATTTTTTATTTCTATGCACTTTTTCCATATTTTAATAAAATGCAAAGAATGATTAATTTCTGTTTTCCTGAACAAAAATCTGACCAATATCGTAAAAGAAACAGTCATATGGGTATACAAGTACAAGTACTTAAATCCAGTTACTAGCATAATCTTTCAGCATGAATTATCAATTGTTTGCAATATTACATATTAATTAATGAAATAAAAGAAATATTTTTTATGGCTTATGATTCTTTTTTTTTTACTGAATCAAGTAAAAAATGTTTTATAAACATGTCAGGAACTTAGAATACATGTAAGTGTGAAAATACTCCATCCATTGGTAAAGGTAGAGCTCACGATCTTTTCAACATGATGGCAGAAACCTGTTTTCAAAGTGATTTAACATCTATAGATATATGAGTCTAGGATTGGGCAACAAACCAAAAACTGCAGAAGTGTTGGATCATGCGACCCTGGATAAAATGTATGAAAATGGTACACTTGGTGATGGCAATCCAAGAGCGTTAATACATTCCATGTGGCTTATTTGTACAAGTTATTTTGGCATGCGAACAGGCAAAGAATGCCATGACCTCTGCTGTGGAGAAGTACAATTATGTATCGAAGAGGTGACGGGGGAAGAATTTTTAATGTATGACAAAGATAGAGAGACAAACAAAAACAAGATCAGGTTGTAACCCTCGAGATACAAGGTATAAAACTATAATACAATTTTTCTTCTAAATGATTAAAAAAAATATCATATTTCTTATTCAACATTATTTCTAAAGTATTCTTTTGCCTGATGACAAACGTCCTTTCATTGGACCATTTGGATGTACTACCACTGCCTCTTGTTAAAAATTAAAGAAAAAACACTTATTTTACTTCACAATTTTAAGTTTAAAAAACAGTAATCATTTTTATTTTTAATAATGAATATGTACTTTATATTTATAAATTGACAATATGCAGAAATTGTACTCAATTTGCCATCGAGTGATGGCAAGGATTGAATATTTTCACTCGTGGCTGCGCCACTTGTGAAAATATTTATCCTTGCCATCACTCGATGAAATAAATTTTGATCTTACACCAAAAGAAACAAATATCCTCTATGACATTGAAACATAAATACTGGCAATTTTTTCAACATTATGTATCATTTCGTTTCACGCAAAGCCTTGATAATGGCCGTGTTGTTACAACGGTATTTACAGAGATTAACTCTGGTATTTTCGCTTTTGGATAAAGGCTCTCATGTAACGTTACAATTAACGAAAAAGAATGTTTTGGATGTTTTGTCAAATTCACATATTCGGTATGTATGAAAATTATTGCTGTCATCTTAAAGCAATAACAGTAACATAATCGGACATAGTGCATAGCTTTTCATTTTCGTTGATTGAAGAACACACAGAGTTATTATCATGATTGCCTAAATACACCCATGACTGTTGATATTTTTCACAAGTTGACTGGTCAGCGAGTGGATCTGCGCCAATTAGTCTGGCTTCGAAGAATAATTAGGCTGGCTTCGAATAATAGGTGTGATATTTTTTCATAATTGTATCATCGGGACTGAAATTTTACTTTGAAAAATAGGAGGTATTAGGATAATGCATTTTGAATAATACGTTCATTTTTATGTTGATTTATATAGAGATAAAAACGGGACCACAGATCTACTTCGGATAATGCCGGGTATTTGAATAAAGGGTTGTCGAATAAACGGGGTCGGACTGTATAGCTGGCTGCATAAAAAAAGAGCTTCCACTCCGTTTGTGGTGGTCACTTGAATATTGGTGGTGCCACTTCTAAAACAGTTAACCCAACGCTGAAATAACAAGATATGTTTGTAAAACATGTATGCCCCATATCGGCAGCCAATTAGTTATGTGATAAGTTTATTATAACTGACTTTTGACCAAAAAATCAATATAGGTTAATTACTTGGCCACGAGTAGTCACTAGGTAATTGTGACCGCAAAGGTTGTGTGCAGCAATTTTATGACAAAGTTATTTCAAATCTTACAAAATAATATATGCATAAATTATATGAATCATGTAGGCCTCATTGATGACAGACAAGTTGTTATATTACATAAGACCTTGAAATGTGAACACTAAAAGGATTTTTAGTTCACTAAAAAAATGTCAATCAAGGCAGCTTGAGTTGTTTAGATATTAGTCAGAAACAGTCTTTACATACAAGGTCAATATGAATTGACCTTTGACTCTAAATCAATAGGGGTTATCTACTGGCCAAGACCAATGCACCTGTGAAATTTGAAAGTAAAGGGCCCATGAGTTGGGATATTGATCAGAAAGCATTGTTACCTATAAGGTCAATGTAATATTGACCTCTGACCCCTTAACAACAAAAAATCCATTGAGGTAATCTTCTGACCAAAAGCAATGCATCTGTAAAGCTTGAAGGTCAAGTTTGTTTGTTTGGGTTTTACCTCACACCGACACAGTATAGGTCATATTGCGACGTTCCAGCTCTACTGGTGGAGGAAGACCTCAGGTGCCCTTCCATGCATTATTTCAGGCACCTGAGTAGAACCACCCACGTTCCGTAAGCTAGGTGATTAGCTTCCTCACATGAAAGAATCCAAAGTCCCTGTTGGGAATCGAACCCACAGTGGTCAGGGGCAAGTGGTTTGAAGTCACTAAAAGGGGCCAATTGGAATGACATGAGCAAATTCAAGTGTGACTGTCACAAGGATAATACAGACCAAATTTGAAGTAAATCTGCCTAGTAGTGTCAGAGGAGAAGACAATTGTTGACACATGACAACGGATGACGGACGCTGGAGCATCCCCCTTTGATACTTATAGCTCACCTTGAGCCTTCGGCTGTGGTGAGCTAAAAAAAATTTAATCTGTTAATATACAATATTCATGAGTTTTAAATGAGAGTCATTCATGTTACAACTCTTAAGAGAATCGACTATAAGGTTATGGAAACAATGGATCTTTACTGCTGACAAATTTTATAGAAATATTTCATAAGAAACAGCTTTATACCTTTTAGTCATTTACAACCTTAATTGTGTATTACCTTTCTTTCTTGAAGCCACTGTTTTTCAATATAGTTTCTGAAGGCTGAAGACTGCTTAAAGAAGTCAGAAGATTTCAAATGCTGAACTTCAGTTTCATACTCTTCTTCAGAACTGGCATGTGCTATCTTATGTAGTCTTAAAAATAGTTTGTCACCAGTAAAGCAATTATTTCTATTGACAATTACAACAAATTCAACCTTTCAACAATTCCAATTTTTCATGTAAATACTTTTTAGTGAAATTTTAGTTTAATATTAAGTGTAATGGCCACCTACCCTTCCTGTGAAAAAAGTCCTGATTAAACAATAATCATATTCTGTTGATAATTCAAAGTTAAATTTCAAGTGCTAAATAAATATATTGTGACTTGGTTTAATAAAAGTTAGACTAAATTGGAATAGAATCTAGTAATCTATCATTATATTTAATTAATAATAATACTGAATATGAACAATGCAGAACTTGCTACAAGTATACGCATGTACTACAAATGTAAGTACAAGGAAATACGATAAACATAAACAAGAGGGCCATGATGGCCCTGAGGTCGCTCACCTGTATATAGCCCCCCCCCCCCACACACACCCATAAGAAGATGTTTCATGCTAAACATCTAAGCTCTAGCTCATTGGGCTTTTTAAAAGAAGATTTTTTTAAAGTTTTTACTATACACATATAGTTAAAAACAATGACACCCATGGGGCGGGGCCAGTTTTGACCCCAGGGCTTTTATTTGAACAAACTTTGTAGACACTAACTAGAAGATGTTTCATGCTTAATATCTAAACTCTAGCTGTTTGGGTTTTTTCAAAGAAGATTTTAAGTTTTTGCTATACACATATAAGGAAAATCAATGACCCCCGGGGCGGGGCCAATTTTGACCCCAGGGCTTTTATTTGAACAAACTTTGTAGACACTCACTAGAAGATGTTTCATGCTTAATATCTAAACTCTAGCTATTTGGATTTTTTCAAAGAAGATTTTTTAAGTTTTTGCTATACACATATAAGGAAAATCAATGACCCCCGGAGCGGGGCCAACTTTGACCCCAGGGCTTTTATTTGAACAAACTTGGTAGACACATATTAGAACATGTTTGATGCTAAATATCTTAGCTCTAGCTCTTTGAGTTCTTTAAAAGAAGATTTTTTAAGTTTTTACTATATGCATATAGGGAAAATCAATGACCCCCTGGGGCGGGGACAATTTTGACCCCAGGGCTTTTATTTGAACAAACTTGGTAGAAACCTATAAGAAGATGTTTCATGCTAAATATCTAAGCTCTAGCTCATTGGGCTTTTTAAAAGAAGATTTTTTTAAGTTTTTACTATACACATATAGTTAAAAACAATGACACCCCTGGGGCGGGGCCAGTTTTGACCCCAGGGCTTTTATTTGAACAAACTTTGTAGACACTTACTAGAAGATGTTTCATGCTTAATATCTAAACTCTAGCTATTTTGGTTTTTTCAAAGAAGATTTTTTAAGTTTTTGCTATACACATATAAGGAAAATCAATGACCCCTGGGGCGGGGCCAATTTTGACCCCAGGGCTTTTATTTAAACAAACTTGGTAGACATCCATTAGAACATGTTTCATGCTAAATATCTTAGCTCTAGCTCTTTGGGTTCTTTAAAAGAAGATTTTTTAAGTTTTTACTATATGCATATAGGGAAAATCAATGACCCCCTGGGGCGGGGCCAATTTTGACCCCAGGGCTTTTATTTGAACAAACTTGGTAGACACTCACTAGAAGATGTTTCATGCCAAATATCTAAGCTCTAGCTCTTAGGGTTTTTTAAAAGAAAATATTTAAAGTTTTTTCTTTCGGTTGCCATGGCAACCAGAGTTCTGCATGGAATTAAATTCTTTGAACAATTTTTAAAGGTGACCACCAAAGGAACATTCCTGTGAAGTTTGGATGACATTGGCCTAGTGGTTTATGAGGAGATGTCATTTAAAGTAAAAGTTTACGGACGACAGACGCCGGACGGACGGACGGACGCCGGACGAAAAGCGATCACAAAAGCTCACCCTGTCACTTTGTGACAGGTGAGCTAAAAATTAAAAAAAACATACTGCTTTAAGATGGATTGTCTATGTTCGGCTGCACCATTTTCTGATCTATTAAGCCATCTTTGCCAGGACTGTTCACGATGGAAATTGCAAACAAAGACATCTACACCTGAAACCAGTATCATTTCTATTCAAGACAAGACAAAACTTCATTGCCAGATACATAACTTTAATTAAAAAAATATTTCAAAACTCACAGTTAAATCATATCACACCCAAACAACAGAATATTGTTATTGTTCACAGTTCTTCGAAAACATTATCAGACACACTAACTTATTATCAGACACACTAACTTATTCTTTAATCAGTTTGAGTATACCAACTATAAAATTGCTTTTATCAATTCCAGCAAATCTTTCAGTAACATCAAATTATCAATTACAGGCATTTCTTCTCTAGCCATTTTTTTCTTCAATACTAATATGCAAGCCATGACTTTCCTAGCATATAATTTTTTTAAAAATACCTAAGAAAATAGTAAGCAAGGCATTACTTCAATTTGAAACTATCAACAACAAGAGCCATGTCAACATGGCCATCCCCCGCCAAATGTGTTTGCTCATTGGAAGAATGTATATGTAGTAGAGCAGAATAATTCCATTTTAAGAGGTCTAATGGTAATGAAAACTGATGGCTACAGTGATTACAGATTTGAAACCTATGTGAATACTGATGGCTGAAAATAACAAAGGGCAAATAACAAAGGGCAAAAACTGAAACATAATGCAAGGTAGGTTATCATTCTTGTGTGCTGCATCCCTCCTCAGTAAAATCTATCCACCTATGAAGTTTCAAGTTGATGACTCAAATACTTTTGAGAAAAAAATTGAATTGAATAATTAAGAATGAAAAATAACAAAGGGCAATAACTCAAAAATTATAAAAGGTAGAGTTATCATTCTTGTGCACTGCACACCTCCTGAGTTAGATCTATGCACCTATGAAGTTTCATTATGATATCTCAAAGGCCTTTTGAGTTATGCTCTGGACAAACATTAATTTTGAAAAATAAAAAAAGGGCAATAACTAAACAATTATGCAGGGTAGAGTTATCATTCTTGTGCACTGCACTCCTCCTCAATGTGGTCTATCCACCTATGAAGTTTCAAGTTGATTAATCAAATACTTTTAGAGATATGCTCCGGACAAAAATGTCGGACGGAAGGTCAGACGGACGGAGACTATTTCTATATCCCCTGCCGCCTTTTCGGCGGGGGATAATTAAGACATAAATTTGTGTTACCTGCAAAGACAGTTTCCAAAGCAGATATTTCTGCTTTATCGAAGTCACACATAAATGACTTTGGTGACCATTTTGTGTTCCATTTTTGGAGTATCTGTAAAGCTTCTGCGATGGATTGTGTTGTTTCTTTCAGTACAAGAAACTGTCCAACAGGTGAATATCCTGAATTTGTTGACACACAGAGAATAAACAATGGTATGTCATACTTGGTAGTTCGATAAGTACTATCAATTACTACCATTTCTGCCCCATACCTTACTAACAAATCCTGTTGAAATTTTGTCTGATGAACAAAAAGGAATGACTGTTCCCCCTCTTCACCATTATCACAACTGTAAAAGAAACCAAACTTAACATGACTTTGCCCCGGTGACCCTTTACTGTATGACTTCAAAATCAACAGGGGGCACTATTCGTGACCAACTCTCACTCTTCATCTAAAAGCATATACTAAAGCCTTGTAAAATTATTGGTCACAATTGTGACAAATACTAATAGGTCCATTACGCCGCAAGAATGGTATAATTTTTATTTTTCAATAGACATTTAGATGCATTTAACCTGTATTTATATATTAAGTACATTCAATAATACATTAAAAAAAACCAATGACCCATGGAGAGGCCAACTATCAAACTAGTAAAAATACTGGGTATAATTATTTTTCAGATGAACAAAAATGTAACTTGCCATAGGTCTATGATATAGATCTTAAGGTTTCTGAGAACATATATTATGAAGATTTTAATTTATAAACCGAAAGCCAATGAACCAGAGGGATATTAACCACCGGGCAATAACTCATACAATCTTTGTAGAGATCCACTATATGATGCAAAAATCTCATTAAGGTCAGTCATAATTCCAAAATGCTATCATCCATCACACAATGTTTCAGGCATAAAATCTAAGATCTAGCATTATGGGTTTCAGAGTATAAGATATATCAAGTTTTCACATTATACATAAATGAAATTATCCTGTCACTTGTATATTTTTAATGATCTATGGATCACCCAATTAATTCCTCAGACTGGTCCAATCAACTATCTCCATCCACAGCACCAACTTATTTTTTTCTTAAAAAAATCAGGAATCTATAGAAAAGTCTTTATCTATATCAGCTTTGTTTTGGCTGACGGTCCAAAATGGAAGTGTGGAGGGCTCTCATTTAAAAGATCAACAAAATGTGAAAGAGCCAGTGATTATTATGAGAAAGACAAATCATGGGTTTTTTTTCCAGGGAATTGCCTACTTTATATGATTTGAAAATTAAGAAAAAATAAAAATAAAATTATCTTGCATATACCTTGGACGGAAGAAGAATTGGTTGTCTGGGAGGTCTTCTTGCCACTTGTTAATTTCAGCCACAAGATTTTGCTGATCATCTTGGCTGAAGCTACAAAAAAGATATCTAATCAGTAAATTAATATAACATTTCCAAAAAATTTATCACAAATTTAAGTTTAATTACATTTATATCATTCCGGGAACAAAAAAGAAAGTAAACATGAAAATATTGAAACAAATTTCAATAACAACAAGCAATTATCATAGTATTGCAAGCAATCCATACCTCCCCTACCGGTAAGAACCCCATCAACATTTTGAAGGGCCATTGGCCATTTACTAATCTTTCAATTTTTCTCTATTTTAAGTAAATTTGTTAGAAAAGTTCTTTAAAAATGATCACAGGAAACAGTTTTTATGAACAGACAGACAGACTGAAGGACACTCTAAAGTTAATATTTGAAACATCCCTGTTACCAAAATATTACATTTTTAAAAGCAAATTTCTTAAAGAGGAGATAACTCTTGAATTAAAGATGCAATTTCATAACAATTTTCAGCTATTTTTGCCTAATCACAAATATTGTTATATTGGCATGTTTTAAGCCTATTTGTTGCCAAGGCAACCAATATTTTTTCAAAATAGGAAGAAAAGATAAGACATGCATAATCTATAGACTGCCATCTACCCATATTACAAGTTTCATAAAAATATTTCTATTACTTTTTGCGTTATCACTGGATCCAGTTTATGTGTAAAATTTGCCATATTTTCAGTATATTTGTTTCCATAGCAACCAGAATTTTCAATATAAGAAGAAAAGAAAAAGAGGTGCATAATCTCCATACTGCCATCTATCCATATATCAAGTTTCATAAAAATATTTTCAGTACTTTTCAAGTTATCGCGGGATCCAGTTTTGTGGACGGACAGACTGACAGACAGAGGGTAAACCAAAAGTCCCCACCAGTAAACCGGTAGGGGACTAAAAAGATTAAGAAATCAGAGACTGTAAAAGTTTTAAATAAATGATATTGTGATTACAAAAGTTTTCACACAACATCTTTTTGACTTTCCTTGGTGCATTATTTTCAAGCAAAAGCATTTCAAAGTACAATAGCCACCGCCAAGCGGGGCAACGCTAGACTTTTTACGTTTCCTAAAAGCAAACTGTTTAAACAATTCATAACAAAACTAGAAATGTGTCATCATGCCACGGATGCCCCCGCATGCAGCCAAAATTTCAGATGTTATTATATTTAGTTCCAAATTTGTTTGCACAAATTATTGTTTTCATTTTAAGTTCAAAGCCCTTAAAACTTTTCAATGTTAACACAAACCATTTTCATACAATGTTCAAGGCACTGAAATTATTCAGTCTTATCCTTTTGAAAATAGCATATTTCATATTTGTAGCCAAAATAATGGCTACATACATTTCCACAAAAGTATGAGTGCTGAAACTGAAAGTTCAAATTTTTTTTCCAATATTCAAGAAAGATAAGTTTGTCCAAAATCATTGAACCACGACCAAATTCAAACTTAAACTGCCTATTCCTAAGATGTATCTATATTATTTTCAAAGTGAAAGGGACATAACTCTGCCAAAAAATCATCGAACCATGACCAAATTCCAACTTGACCTGCCCATTCCTTTGACATATCCATATGTCAAATTTGAGTTGAATATGTAACACTGTTGGGTAGATAATGAACAGAAACTGTAAATTTCATATTTTTTTCAAAGTGAAAAGGGCATTACTCTGCCAAAAATTATTGAACCATGACCAAATTCGAACTTGACCTTGGCATTCCAAAAAAATATCCATATGTCAAATTTGAGTTGAATGTGTTGTACTGTTGGGGAGATAATAAACAGAAACTGAAAATTTCATATTATTTTCAAAGTAAAAGGAGCATAACTCTGCCAAAAATCATCGAACCATGACCAAATTAAAACTTGACCTGTATTTTCTCATGACATATCCATATGTCAAATTTGAGTTGAATGTGTTGTACCGTTGGGGAGATAATGAACGGAAACTGAAAATTTCATATTATTTTCAAAGTAAAAGGGGCATAACTCTGCCAAAAATCATCGAATCATAACCAAATTCGAACTTGACCTGTATTTTCTCATGACATATCCATATGTCAAATTTGAGTTGAATGTGTTGTACGGTTGGGGAGATAATGAACGGAAACTGAAAATTTCATATTATTTTCAAAGTAAAAGGAGCATAACTCTGCCAAAAATCGTTGAACCATGACCAAATTCGAACTTGACCTGTATTTTCTCATGACATATCCATATGTCAAATTTGAGTTGAATGTGTTGTACCGTTGGGGAGATAATGAACGGAAACTGAAAATTTCATATTATTTTCAAAGTAAAAGGGGCATAACTCTGCCAAAAATCATCGAACCATGACCAAATTCGAACTTGACCTGTATTTTCTCATGACATATCCATATGTCAAATTTGAGTTGAATATGTGCAACCGTTACTAAGATAATGAACGGAAACTGATGATGACGGAATGACAGAATGACGGAATGACGGAACAGGGTAACACTATATGCCCCGGCCATTACATGGCGGGGGCATAAAAATAACTTTTCTTTTTTAATTTTAATAGGTCTATCTGGTCAAACTTAATGTTTTTGTAATACTTGCTGTAAATAAATGACTATGTTAAGAAAATTTGATGAAAATTCAATCTTTTGAGAGTCAGTCATTTAAAGTCAAGGTCATAGCATTCCACATGTCTGTTTTGTCACATGTACTCTTTGTGTTAATAGCCAATTTAGACAGGGAAAAGAATTCTTAACATCACACAAAGGTATTACACTTGGTTAGTTATGACTCAAAAGACACTTGATGACTGCAGTGAATACCTTTAGTGCTTTATTACATAGAATTTCAAGATTCTATCAGCAATATAACCCATAAAAATATGAGCATCTGTTAATAACCTAACACCATAACAAATATGTTTTTCACATAGACTATGGTATAGTTTTGTAATTAAGCCATTAAATAAAAACAATTTACAATTAAACAATTTCTTATCTAATGTCGATTCAATACAGCAGGCTAGCAAAATATGATTTTATTCAGTTTGTTGAAAAAGTTTAGTATTAAAGCTATACTCATTCAATATTCACTATCTATTTGAAGGTACCATCAGTGTAGAAGAATATACATAATATTATTAACATGCATGTATAACCTTTAATAAATTTTCATATAATTTTTATTTAACAGTTCATTTACCATTTTCGTCTCAAAGCAAGAGAAACATGATTGCGGATATCTCCTACATTTGGACGAAAACGTCGGTTGGTAAGTGGCACATCAGAAGCTGTGTTGAGCGCCAAATGTCTCTCAATTTCTCCTGCATTGGTAATGCCATCATCAACTAAATCAGAGATCTGTTGCTTTACGTCTTTGTGTAATGGCAAACCATATCCAGACAACTGAAATAAATGTAAGTAAAGTGTCCAGTGAAAAACTAGACCTGTAAAAGGAGTAATAAATAACTCAACATTTATACAACAAAGGATTAAAAAAAAAATAATCTGTTAATCATTTTTTATTTGCTATTGGTTATATTGTTAATTCTTATCTTTCCATTTTATAATGTTATATACAAAAATTATAACAAAAAACATTTTTTCCGCCTGTCTTTCAGAATGAAAATTATTAAGTAATAGATATACCATTGCTGCGATGACGATTTCTGGGTTTGCGTAAATTATACCATAATCACGTGACCTTTCTTATGCCTTAACCTCACGAGACGAAGTCTTTTTTTATTTGCTATTGGTTATATTGTTAATTCTTATCTTTCCATTTTATAATGTTATATACAAAAATTATAACAAAAAACATTTTTTCCGCCTGTCTTTCAGAATGAAAATTATTAAGTAATAGATATACCATTGCTGCGTTGACGATTTCTGGGTTTGCGTAAAATATACCATAATCACGTGACCTTTCTTATGCCTTAACCTATGCATAAGAAAGGTCACGTGATTATGGTATAATTTACGCAAACCCAGAAATCGTCAACGCACCAATGGTGTATCTGTTTTTACCTATAGCTCCGCCCAGAAACACTTACTCCTTCGATCTTCAAAACTGAAAATTATACCATAGTCTGGGTATGGTATAATTTACGGTTATTGGAAATTATACTTGGAAGAATTTTACATAAGAAGCGCTGAAGAGCTATAGGTTAATATATGTATAATATATAGAATTACAATATACAATTATTGACTTTTGACACATTGAATATGAAAATATACACCAGCAGAATGACATATTGTTTTATTATCAGTACAGCATTACATTTCTAGCAGTATAAATTTTAAAAATTACAATATGGTGATTTTAGTTCTTGATAAAATTACTGTTTGTCGTTAGAATGCACATCATTATATCATTCGGGCTATGCCGTAATAAAATAATTCCTCGCTTCTTAACTCAAATAAAATCACACTTTGGGATATATAATTTATTAAATAATAATAATTTAACACTTATCATGTCATGAGGAATCCAAAAATTTGCAAATAGTTTTTTACCATGAAATTCATTATGTATAATATTTGTCAAAATATTGATAAACAAACCTCTCCAACCAGATGTCCCTCGTGAGCTCCCTGAACTCTTAAGTGTACCTGAAATTCTTGACGAACATGGGGAGAAAAGTTATCTTTTAGGCGTTTGGCCATCATTCTCCTCCTCCACTCGGATCCTTGACCCTCAATCTGGATGTTAGATAAAATCATTAAAAACATGATTTTTTCTAGAATTCTAAAAACAAATCAACCAGATTTTATAAAAATACTTAACAAGTAACTAGAAATACGTCCATAGCAAACAAAAAATGCTCAACATTCCACAGTTTTGTCACAACAAGAGGGCCATGATGGCCCTGAGGTCGCTCACCTGTATATAGCCCCCTCCCCCCACCCACCCATAAGAAGATGTTTCATGCTAAACATCTTAGCTCTAGCTCATTGGGCTTTTTAAAAGAATTTTTTTTTAAGGTTTTACTATACACATAAAGTTAAAAACAATGACACACCTGGGGCGGGGCCAGTTTTGACCCCAGGGCTTTTATTTGAACAAACTTTGTAGACACTTACTAGAAGATGTTTCATGCTTAAAGATCTAAACTCTAGCTATTTGGGTTTTTTCAAAGAAGATTTTAAGTTTTTGCTATACACATATAAGGAAAATCAATGACCCCCGGGACAGGGCCAATTTTGACCCCAGGGCTTTTATTTGAACAAACTTTGTAGACACTCACTAGAAGATGTTTCTTGCTTAATATCTAAACTCTAGCTATTTGGGTTTTTTCAAAGAAGATTTTAAGTTTTTGCTATACACATATAAGGAAAATCAATGACCCCCGGGGCAGGGCCAATTTTGACCCCAGGGCTTTTATTTGAACAAACTTGGTAGACACCTATTAGAACATGATTGATGCTAAATATCTTAGCTCTAGCTCTTTGAGTTCTTTAAAAGAAGATTTTTTAAGTTTTTACTTTATGCATATAGGGAAAATCAATGACCCCCTGGGGCGGGGCTAATTTTGACCCCATGGCTTTTATTTGAACAAACTTGGTAGACACCAATAAGAAGATGTTTTATGCTAAACATCTAAGCTCTAGCTCATTGGGCTTTTTAAAAGAAGATTTTTTTAAGTTTTTGCTATACACATATAGTTAAAACAATGACACCCCTGGGGCGGGGCCAGTTTTGACCCCAGGGCTTTTATTTGAACAAACTTTGTAGACACTTACTAGAAGATGTTTCATGCTTTATATCTAAACTCTAGCTATTTGGGCTTTTTCAAAGAAGAGTTTAAGTTTTTGCTATACACATATAAGGAAAATCAATGACCCCCGGGGCGGGGCCAATTTTGACCCCAGGGCTTTTATTTGAACAAACTTTGTAGACACTCACTAGAAGATGTTTCATGCTTAATATCTAAACTCTAGCTATTTGGGTTTTTTCAAAGAAGATTTTTTAAAGTTTTTGCTATACACATATAAGGAAAATCAATGACCCCCGGGGCAGGGCCAATTTTGACCCCAGGGCTTTTATTTGAACAAACTTGGTAGACAACTATTAGAACATGTTTGATGCTAAATATCTTAGCTCTAGCTCTTTGAGTTCTTTAAAAGAAGATTTTTAAAGTCTTTACTATATGCATATAGGGAAAATCAATGAACCCCTGGGGCGGGGCCAATTTTGACCCCAGGGCTTTTATTTGAACAAACTTGGTAGACACTCATTAGAACAAGTTTCATGCTGAATATCTTAGCTCTAGCTCTTTGAGTTCTTTCAAAGAAGATTTTGTAAGTTTTTACTATATGCATATAGGGAAAATCAATGACCCCCTGGGGCGGGGCCAATTTTGACCCCAGGGTTTTTATTTGAACAAACTTGGTAGACACTCACTAGAAGATGTTCCATGCCAAATATCTAAGCTCTAGCTCTTAGGGTTTTTTAAAAGAAGATATTTAAAGTTTTTTCTTTCGGTTGCCATGGCAACCAGAGTTCTGCATGGAATTAAATTCTTTGAACAATTTTTAAAGGTGACCACCAAAGGAACATTCCTGTGAAGTTTGGATGAAATTGGCCTAGTGGTTTATGAGGAGATGTCATTTAAAGTAAAAGTTTACGGACGACGGACGGACGACGGACGGACGCCGGACGAAAAGCGATCACAAAAGCTCACCCTGTCACTTTGTGACAGGTGAGCTAAAAACTAGTCACTTCTCATTGGATTTATACTCATGCAGTAAAATGTGATGCCTTATTTTTTGCTAAATAGGGAGTGATAACTCTGCTTGTCTTTAATAAATTCGCAATAAATTAAAAAAATTGCTTTCAAATTCAATGACTTTTTAGAAAGGTCTCAAGACTGTGACCTCCATTTGGTGTCCATCACATCCTAATGTGTAGCATATGCATAGCATAAATTAGGAGCTGGTTTTAATCAGGTTGTATCTTTTGATGTTTTTTGTTAAATAAATTGTGACAGATAGGCTAACATGAGAAAAACAATTAAGAAATAGGCATAACTTTGCAATTACTGTATTTTATTCTGCAATTACTATATTTTCTTCCTTTTGGACATGGTGTCACTTTATAAAGAAATATTTGCTCAATAGGGCAAGATAACATTACTAGAGTTTCAAAATTATCTCTTGAGTATATAATTGAAGTACCAACCACTAATCATTTCTAAGGGTGTAACGGTTTACCGGTATACCGATATATTGCAATATGAAAAAATAAATTTCGAACCGCGGTACGATTTTTGGAAAACCGGTATTTTATAAAAATCATCATTTTCAATTAATTGCCTTCTAATTTTGCACAAATTCACATAAAATCTTTAATTGGCAAATTTTGTTGGCACCAACGTAAGATAAAAGTATCCGACAACTAGTACACTTGAAAGTCAATAAGCGGCCGCATAATTTACATAAGCCGCCCAGATGTGAAAGGTCACACGCGACTAGTTTTGTTGATCAAATTGTGTGACACTACTTTCTATTATTCCTTACATTTTTATTAAGTTTCTACTAAAAATATATACATATAATAATAATATATAAATGTTACTCCATCTTTACATCAAAACATATACACGACAATACGTATTGCAATATATTGCAATACGCTTCAGCAAAATGGCAATATATTGCAATACATCTTTTGCTGTATTGTTACACCCCTATTCATTTCGTTAGGTACAAATAATATCCCACTAACCTTATAGTCTGGAAATCTTACAACCATCCTCATTCTTATTTTCATTTCACAGTCAACTTTTTTTGTATTTTGTATTTGTTTCCTTCCAGTCTCATAAAAGTGATCATTTTTATTCTAAAAATGCAAGAAATAAACAAGAAATTAGGTGTGCATGACAAATAAACTTCAGCATTTGCTGCTGAAATATTGTATATAATGTTAGAAATAAACTAGAGCAATCACAAAATACAGCAAAGCTTGACGAATAAAATGCAAGATGCAGTAGGGAAGACAAAACTAGGAAAAACTAGAACTGTGTCCAAAGGACACGGATGCCCCCACTGACAACATTTATATGGTATACATGTATAGTGAAAAAATCAACAATGGGCCATAATTCTGTTAAATTTGTTCGCAGCCAAAATTCCTCCCTTTACTTACTTACATCTATACATTAAGGTTGCACATCCCTGGAAGTTTAAGCAAAATCTGCCATCTGGTTTAAAAGGAGTTGTGTTCACAAGATTTCGGGACGTACGGACGGACGTACTCACAAAATGCTACTTATGTGACTTTTCCTTTTATCTTTTTGGCCATTTTTAGTCACACAAGACTTAAAAAGACACACAAGTAAAAACGAAATGAATAGGATCAAAGAGAATTTACTGTTACCCATTGTTCTCCAAGTCACACAAGTACCTCTTGGTTTGGACAGACGGACAGACATACTGACAGATGTACAAGTGCAACACTATATGCTACCCACTTTGTGGGGGCATAAAAATCAATTAAGTATAATTATGTAATAAGTTAAAGTGAAATATAACATTTGTTAACATAAATTCCAAGTTCAAGGGGGAATTATTCTGGAAATAGTCACGCTTGAGTTATCAACTTTGTCACACAACATGTGTGTAAAGATAACAAATATATATTTGAAGTTTGATGTAGATACATGTAACTTAAAAAGTAAAGAAGTCATAATATTTCTTAAAGAAAATCCTAAATTCAAAGAGAGATAAATCTGAAACTATTGCATCAACAGTTATGAACAATGTCATATAAGATGTAATTGTTGATAAGGAATAAGTATTTGAAGTTTTAGGTAGATACCTTTTAAACTAAAGAAATTAAAGTAAAACATAACATTTTTCAAGTAAAAACAATCTAAGTTTATGAGGAGATAATTGTTGCAATATTGGTGCTCAAGTTATGAACCTTGCCACAAAACATGTGATTAATGAGCATACTATAGAAGTATGAAGTTGATCCCTTAAGAAATAAAGAAGTAACAGTAAATAATTAAAAATAATATTTTTTAAGGAAAATTGAAGTTCAAGGGGAGATAATTCTGGCAATACTGTTGCTAGAGTTATAAACCTTGGCAAATAAGATGTGGTAGATTATCAGGAACATATATTTGAAGTATGAATTTGATCCCTTAACAATTAGGAACATATATTTGAAGTTTGAAGTTGATACCTTAAGAATGAAAAAGTTATAGAGAAAAATATTTTACTGCACTAAAACTTTAATCTGAAATCTGTAAGCGGACGCCGACGCAGGGGCAAGTAGGACAGCTCTCCATATACTTTGTATAGTCAAGCTAAAAATTAAAACATCCAAGCTTCTATCGGATTAATACAACGTCATGTACTATCTGTCTGGACAGATGATTCTGTACAGTGGACAATTCAGGTAATTCTGATACCATTCACAACTTCAGAAATAAACAAACTAATTTGTAACCTAGGAGAACCTAGCTGTACCGTTTCAAATTTTCAGATATCTAGCTTTAAAATAATGAAATCTGTATGGAAATTTTTCCATTTATACAGTTTACAGTCTCTGACCAGTAGTCAAATAAAACTGACACCCATATTAATTATTATTACTTAAATTATTGTGCTCTGCTGTGCAATAAAATACCTGTGCTATTAAATACCTATAAAACAATATTGCATACATAAAAATTAATTATCAAACGTAATACCTCTTTTGGTTTTATATTTCTGCCACGTCCTTGATGGCACTGTCGTACCTCACTTTGGATGGACACAAAGGGTACACCATCATATGTTATTGGTACTATACCCCTTGTGTCCTCGTACCATATCCTGTGGCCATCTAGTGAAGTTAGTCCTTACAAAGAAGAAATAAGTATTAATAAAAAAGTTATTTAGAAAGAATTTTCAATACAAAAAAAACAGGAACCATATAAAAAAAATGTCTACTTCCAACAGGCATTGCAGTTAATTATTTCATTCTAATCATCTTAGGTTAGGTTTCCAACTATGTCAGTTAAAATACATAAGCACCCCTCTCCCCCCCCCCCCCCTTGGATTTGGGCCTGACAAAAACTGCCAAAGGTGATCAGACAATAAAGCATTGTTCTCAGTTTATCAGGACGAGTACAATGTAGATATGATGTTCAAAAAAATAATCACATATTTAATAAACCAGCCTTCAGCGAGCAGTTCCCAGAAAATGCAATAAACCATGGGTTGAAAGTAAATATTTTTGAATGTAAAATTTTTTAATATTGTTATTTTTTTTATGTTTTAGTAAAAAAGATTCAAAGGATTTTTTCTTTGTATTATTGAGTTTAACATGATTGTACCAACGCAGTAAGTTATTATAACAGCTTTTTTAAAGCTTTACTGGCAGTTGTCTTGGACAAAGTATTAAATGTCCCAGGTAGCAGTGGTGCCTCTGTGTGTTATTTAAGGCAACCAAGGTACCCCGAATAGAACCACCTATATTCCATCAGCTAATTAGATAGCTTTTTCACATGAAAGAATCAGAAGACACTTCCGTGACTCAAACCTTCTGCGGTCAGAGGTTAGTGGGTTTGGACACAGACACTTGGAGTGTAGGCCCCCACCCTTCAATGCGGCTTAATGCCCCTAAACTATCAAAAAATGAAACCATTACTATACAAGAAGTAGTCTTAATTGTTTGCTTACACTAGTATAAGTTATTATAACAACAGATGTACTAAGACTAATTTGACTGATGTAGAACCAGAGCTCCAGATAGCATGCGTATCAGCATGAAATACACATTTTTTGTGTAAAGGGCAGTTTACTGGCCTTAGCGAACCCGGGTGTGGGGAAAACCATAAGGAAAAGGGGGGGAACCCCAGAAAAAACGGGGGCATGTATAAAATCCCAAAAATAAAATTTTTTAAAACGGAAAATCTTTAATGTAAAAAAAAAATGAATATAATTAAAATTTTTTACGGTAAAAAAATCGCCTTTTGCTTTGGGGGTTTTTGCCTTTTTTCATATTATCTTTTAATTTTAGGTTAAGGTTTTCAAAAAAAGTATAATACTTTTTCTTTTTTAAAACATCTGCAAAAATTAAATTTAAAAGTTTTTTTTAAACCCTATACAGAGGGAAACGGGACAATAAAAGGGAAAGAAAGATCTCCTGAAAACATAAAAAAAAGATATTTTCTGCTTGTATACACTAACTTTCACCTTCTATGTAAACCATTTGCTTTTCTGTATTATTGTGCAGGGCCCGGCATGTATTATCATGCAGGGCACATATTACTATTAGGGGCTTCATCCACGGATTTATATTACAAGGATCGGACACTCCCAGTTAACCCTATATAAATGCTTAAATATCTTGTCGTGCACCCGGGAATTAAAAATCCGAAAATTTACCGGGGCCGAACCCCTTAAAAATGCCCGTTTTCGCAAAAACGGATTTTTTTTCTTTTTTTTTCACAATACCATAAGTTTTTTTTAAAAAAAATTTTTTTTTTTATTTAAAATTTTTTAAATTTTTAAATTTTAATGGAAAAAACTGAAATTCAAAATTAAATTTTAAAATTTTTTTAAAGGGTTTTAAACTGTCCCCAAAGGTTTTAAAAAAATTAAATTGGAGGAAATAAATAAATTTAAATTTTTTTTTATAAAAAAGAATTTTTGAAATTTTTTAAAAAAACCCCCTAATATTTCTTAAAAAAAAAAAAAAGGGATTAATTTTCCAATGTAAAGACTTTTTAATTTGGGGGTTAAAATTAAAAATTTTTTAACCCCCACAATTTTTTCCATTTGATTCATTTATTTTGCGAAAAAAAAGATTTTAAAATTTTTTTTACCATGTTTAAAATTTTTCTTAATTAAAATTACTTTAAGGGGTAATAAATTAAAAAAATTTACCCAAAATCATTAATTAATTGATAAGAACCCCATTTCAAACAAATTTTTTAAAATTTTTGAATCGACTTTTTTTTCATGGCATATTTAAAAAATTTTTAAAAAAATAATACAATTTTAAATCTATTTTCTTATTAAAAAATGAAATTGAAAATTAAACAATTTTGAAATATTTTTTAAAATAGAAAAAAAACTTTTTAAAAAAAACATTGACGTTTTTAGATATTTTTAAAAAATATGTTACATAAAAAAAATTTATAAAACGACTCATGCCAAAAAATTTTCCCCCCAATTAAAGAATCTCTAAAATTTGTCAAAAGTTGAAAATATAAATAAAATTTGTAGTTTTTTTTAATCATTTAAGGGTTAAAAAAAAAGTAAATCATTTGGAAAAAATTTTCCACAAGAAAAAAAAAAATTTTGAAAATGAATTTCAAAATTTTTTAAATAAAAATTTTTTAATGATAAAATTTTTTAAAAAAAAATTTTTTTGGGATGCCAAAAAATCTGGGAAAAAAAGGGGGTAAAGGTAAAGTTCCTTGGCCAATTTTTTTTAAAAATTTTTAAAAATGGTTTATCAGTACAAAATAATATTTTAGCGACACAAAAAAATCTGATAAATACATCATATGGTAAAATTTTACAAAGCCAATAACCCCACATACCCCCGGGAAAAAACTTTTATTTCGTACCCCCGCATTTCCGCCATCTCATTTTCCCCCTTTACCCGATTCCGCCCCAGCGAGGGGGACTTTTAGCAAAACCCAAAGTGTCCGATCCTTGTAATAAAATCCGTGCCTTTCATCATTTAGTAAAAAAAGCGCCATATTCAAAAAATTTTTTCGAAATACATTTAAAACCCATTTCCAAAATTTTTTGAAACAAAAAACCCTGTCCTGAAGCTTTGCAAGGAAAGTATAAAAATAATATCAATCTTTATGCCATTTTGTAATTTAATAATTCTTTTAAAAAAAAATTTTTTTTAAATAAATATATCTTACACTCTCCCCCTGATAATTACGATTTTGAAAAAAATGAATAAAAAAAAAAATATGTGACAGTTGACCAAAAAGGGGGAAAAAGTTAATTCCGGCCGATTTACATCCCCAGTTACTTTACGAATCCCCGTTTAAAATCGTTTTTTTTCGTTAAAATTTAAAAAATTTTTTAAAATTTGCAATTCCATTAGATTTCTTATTCTTCCAAAAAAACGTTGTTTCAAGGTTTTTTAAAACCCCTTGCCCCCTTTTTAACTTGCAAAACATTGTTTTTTCCCCATCCCCTTTGTTACACTGCCGAAGTATACAGAAATAATTAATATTCGGAACTTTAAGCAAATCCCGCCTACCAAGATAAGGAAAATACGAACTGCATATGTATCGTTGTCATCACTTTTAAACTAATTTTAATCATATTCAAAAGTTTTGATCTTTTTTAGAATAACTGTATATATTTATAAATTGTTTTATTTTAAGGAGTACGATTCAAAGCATAACTCACTTTAGTTTTTTTAAACCAAGACGTATAAACTTTCTGCTTGTTGTGATTCAAAGGCGGTTCCATTTCCCCTCGCCTACTGCTTGCCCCCGCCCCTTGTTTCCCTGGCGTTATGAATTTCCCAAAACACTACTGGTTTAAAAAAAGTCAAAACGTTTTTTTTGTTTATTTTTTGAGGGTTTTTCTCGGGTCTAGGAATGTATTTCCCGTCCGATTTTACTTGGGGGATTACCGTGACAGGGATAACCAAGAAGTATAGTTTTTTCCATTAAAATTTTTCAAAATCGTTTTTTCGTTCATAATTTAAAATCGACATTTTTTTAGTTGAAGTTATTAAAATAAGTTGAAAAAATGTCAAGGAAAGATTATTTTCAAAATTGCCAGAATAACAAATTGAAATCTGCGTCGAAAAAATAGAATATTAATTTTAAAAAGCCCCTCCGTTTTTCTTATAAATATTTAGACGTACACAATAAGTAAAAGTAAAAGTAAAATTTTCTTACAGTTTTTGGCGATTCGAGGGTCTAAGTGCCCGCGCATATCGTTTATATGACTGACAGTTCCGTCTGGGGGTTTTTTACCCTAAGGGTAAAAAAAATTTTTAATCTTTTTTTTTTGTAATTTTTAAAAGAGAGTTTATTATTTTAAAAACATTATTCATTTAGTAGTCTAATAATGAAAAAAAAAAAATGAAAATTAAAAAATTTTTTGTTAGTTAAAAAAACCAAAGTACAAGGAAAAAATTTTTTTTTGTAAATATTGATTTACAATATTTTTTTCAGATCCTGGGTCGGGTCCAAGTTTTTTGCCCGTGCGCGTCAAAAAAAAACTAAACCAAAAGAAAAAGAAAAACCAAAACAAAACCATAAAAAATATCTTCAAACACGGTTATTTGTTGATGTTAAACAATGAAAAAATTTAACAAATGAGACATAAATACTATGGATTAGAAACATCTTTACAAAAAAAACAACAACCAGTCAGATCCGATTATGTTCCACCTGTTTCAAAATTTTTTAATTTAAAGGGAAAAAAACACCGACTAGTCCCCTTTGGGATCATTAAATATAAAAAAATACCAGTAAAACCATTCAAGATTTAGTCTTTCAAAAAACCAGGCAAAATTAGTTTTCTGTCTTCAGAGGCCAGTTGCTTTTCCAAACTCAAAGAAGGCCTCTTTTTCGATTCCTTAGAGAAAGTGCCGATATAAAACAGCATTTCTAACAGGGAAAATTCCTAAAACTTATAAAACATTGAAAAGAAATATGCTGCTACAAACAAAACAAAATTTAATTTTTTATGTCTTAAACGACGAGAAAAAACTTAACAGGGGTTTCACTTCTCAGTTTGATGAGTTTTTCGTCATGTTGCCCACAAAATTTTAACTCTCCATCACGTTCTTCCAAACATCTCTAGGATTTTTCTCCTGAAAATGAAACGGCTTGCAAATAAGCTTTTTGTCTACTCTATTTG